TATTAATTTTGTAAAATATTTAAACATTTTAAAATGTTTATTATTGATTTATTTTGTTGTTGTTTTCTAAATTTGTTCACAATTGTAACAACAAATAGCAATTTTAAAAGCACAAACTGAAAACACAGAACTAAAACTTCACGTTTACTATGTTTTTTTTTAAATTACAATGGAGTAAAATCAAAGCATGGGCGACACAGTGGTGCAGTGGTAAGCACCATCGCGCTCACAGCAAGAAGGTCGCTGGTTTGAGTCTTGGCTTGCCAGTTGGCATTTTTTTGTGTAGAGTTTGCATGTTCTCCCCATGTTGGCGTGGGTGCTCCAATTTCCACCACAGTCCAAAGACATGCACTGTAAGTGAATTGGGTAAGCTAAATTGTAATGCTCCTCCAGGTTGGGAGTTGAGCGTTGGGCTAACGACCCACCTCCTAAAAAAATAGATGTTACGAAACACCAACATGGTGCAGCTTACGAATATCCACTTTAATATAAATGGCCCTCGGAGTAAGTAAAATAAAAGTGTATGTGGTCGATTTTGTGTGTGTTTGTGTTAAAAAGATAAAGTTAAAAAGAAAGTGTTCCATGAATATTATAAAAGGACAAATCAAAGATGATATTCAATCATCAGAATAAATGTTTAAATCTTTATTCTGTGCTTCATCACCATCCTTCAAATCACTTTGTTCCAATCCGCTTGTTAAGTGTGACGTCACGTGAATCGGCTTCCAGATCCAAGCGCTCTATTCAACTGTATGCGGAGACTCATGAAATGGTAATTATAAACGTTTACAAAGTGATTTAATACTTTCGAAAAATCACAATCGCAATATATATGTCCATGCCTAATATCCGATGATCAGAAAGGGATTAATTTTTTTGTAAATTGTTAAAATTTTGGTATTTGTGATGCAGCAAGCCCAGAGATTGTTGTGTACACTGTCACTTTATATAAAATTAACTTTATAGTGTGATATGAATTAAAAGTGATCATAAAACAAATAATTTCTCAACTTGAATGAGTGGTGCTTGGACCCAGAAACAGTATTACATACGTCACCAACACGTCATCACTTAACAAGCAGATCGTGTGAGTGTAAGGTGTGGCTATCATTTTGTTTGACCAATAGGGTCACAGGTGGTATAAAAATAGCATACTTCATCTCCAATATCATCATGAAGACGACAAAATATCATTATTCAGAGCACATCATTCTAAAGACAAATTTGTCTTCGTAATCTATCATTAAAATCGAATTTCTTTTTCAGCCAGCATTATTTTTCAGCCCTCTAACTACCTGTCAAACAGAGACCGTTTTTCACAACCCATGAATTCCTAATGGATAAAATCAAGCATCTTTTCTACCTTGAATATCCTTTTTCCCCCACTTTAAAGTTACTAACACTATATTGATTTATTTCCCTACAGTAATGTTTTAATTTTATGTGTTATAAATCCAATTAATAGTCACCCTAATGTAATTAATTTGATTGACGGTGTTGGTTTAAATCGATTTTTCTGAACGATATCTTAGGGAAATATAAAAACGCAAATGTGTGCTTCTGAGGTATTTTGTTTCTGTCTTTTCTGATCATTCTCTTTTCTGCTAGTTGCTCATAACCTAGATTCAGCTGTTTGTGTGTAAAGCCTTGAGCGCTTGTGCTACTGTTTTGAAGTAAGGAGGGGGGCAAAGAGGCCACCAAACCCGTATGCTTCTCTACCCCATTTTCATGTGATGGTTTATGCGGTTTGAGACTGTGAGATTAAGTCTCCCAGCTTTTAGAAGTGGAAGATCCCGCTTGCATGTTTAAGCCCCAAAAGCAAACCCTCAAAGAGCTGGACAAGCTCTTAAATCACTCTGACAGATCAGGAAGAGCCTCGAGCTTCTTCATCCTGGTCTCTTTACCTCTGTCCATCACAAAATCCCTGCATTTGTGGACTGCAGAAAAGGAAGAAATGCCTCATTAGATACGTTTTATTGCTTAAAGTCAGGCCCACGCAAAAATCTGCATGCACAGAAATCTGCAGATATCGTTACTTATGTAGATGTGTGTAAATATACATTTATTCAGTTTTTATATTCATTTAAGTAATCTTATTTAATAGTATGCAAATGTTTACATGATTTGGATACAAAAGCTTTTCTTTTAGTTGATATATTACTGTATATTTGGGACATTTTTTACCAAGTTAATGGTTCTAAATGGATTTGTATTGTAAACTTTAAATATAAGTAACTTTTTTTTTTTATTTGAAGTGTTTAGTTTTTAGATACGATACTCTCAAATTCATTCCACATTTGCAGATTTTGTACAAAACTCTTTGCAAAAATAGCAAAAAAATAAATAAATCACATATTCTGTCTGAAAAACATATTGTGTCTGGCCCTTCTTATAGTGTACTTTTAACTTCTCTTTAAATGTATATATTTTTTCCATGTTATAATGAGTTTTTATCCTAACCGTCCATGAAAGAAATGTGTGAAGTTTCTATTTTAGAAAAGGTTTATATTTCATCAATGTCCTGGCTGAAAAACAGCATAAACTACATTACGATGATTACCTCAGGTACTAATTATGTGCATTATACCGTGTTAAATGCTACGTGCCTGAGTTTTGCATGAATACTATGGGTGTAATGGATCACGGTTGGTCCGTGATTCATACGAATCACAATCCACGGTTCAGAACACAGGTGACCCGTTGATTCATAAATTTTTTCACTTATATTTATTCTAAATATTTAGCAATCTCAGAGAGATTGCCTCTCGCGTCATTTAAAACGCGTATAAAAGCATTTAGGCTTTCCTTTATTATAGAATTGTGATAAAAGAAGTTGTGGTAGGTTATTCGGGATGTGGTGGGTTTCTTAGGTTATTAAAGGTGTTTTCTGTCACTACTTGTTTAGCCTGCATTAATGCATTTAGTGTAAGCTGCATGATAAATCATTGAAAGATCGGGATCTCAACACCCACACAATATAAATGATAAATGATGGGGATTTGCATATGTTTATTAATACTTCCATTACTTATTTCTACATTTAGCATTAGCAGCAACAGCAGTAGTAACAGTGAATTTTTCACAGTACTGAATCTTTTACAATTTATTTTTTATTCAGCTGATGATTTCTTCATTTTATTTAAAATAAAACTACAGGCTAAAGTTTTGTTTGTTAAAACCAAAAGTTCCTTGCAGTACTGTTTTTGTAATAAATGGAAAGCAAATGACATTTCTGGCTGATCTTAAAAATGGTCCAATCCGTGACAAAAAAAAAAAACAAAACAAAAAAAAAACAATGTCATCCAAACCATGAAGTTTGTGATTCGTTACATCACTGTTTAATAACAGTTTACATTAAATTTATTGTCATACTGAAAGCAGAAGTAGATAGTTCACCTCAGGTCTTGAAAATAAAATAAATTCTAAAAATATAATAGTACACTACTCACTGAACCGCCTCTGAACGGTTTTATTTAAATGTTTCTGCCGTGTCATATATGGCAGGCAAATTGTTTATCGCTCTCGTTGGAAAATTCAAATTTTGTCTATTTTTGAGAACTGTCAGATGAAATAAAAAATAGAACTGAGTATATTTCTATTTAAATGTACTTGACCACAAGAGCATTTATATTTATTTCTATGAGGTTTTGACATCTGGAAGTGGTTGAAAAAATAGGCCCCATTTGCAGCTCCCTTTAGCATGATCTACTAGTGATTGGATTGACAAAATAAATGCATCTTAAAGATAGATGTAAGCGATGTGTAATTGTTCAAGGGAGGGGCTAAAATGGGAGTGCATGGTGACAGCATCGAGTGACGGACGGTCGTTTCAGATGTGAAGCAATGTCTTAAAACTTGATTCATTTTTTTCATTTTTTGAATAGCACACTGATAAGTTAATAACTGTATGACCAAAAACATGCAGTCCGTTAAGAAAGTGAAATTTGATTTCATTGCTCATGATGCTTTTGATAAATCTCATTGTTTTTGTGTGCTTTTTTATAGTATTTTATCAAAAATGTCATTACTTTTCTCTTCGTGAAGTTTCGTAAACTAATTTCGAGAGGAGCATGTGATATGATTGAGCACTACTGGCTGCTCATATGTAATCAGTAATAATCCAATTAGATTGATCCAAGTTTACAATAAATGGACCGATTTTTTTTCCTACTGCTCTATCTTTATTTTGGAAGAAACCCCCCTTCCACCCCATCTCCTCCTTTTCCTCCCTTTCTTAAGGGAAGCTCTCGAGACCTACACGATCTCAGATCCCCTTGTATGCTTATTGCCTTGGGCTCAATCATCTCCAAGCTCAGGGTTCTCTCTCGGGACAGCATGCCAAACCTGCTATTAATGCCCAACATATCTACTGTAAGTAAGAACTCTTGAAGAATGGTTTAACAAAGGTCACATAGTTGATGATAAATAACGTGACCAATAATATTAATCTTGCTGACCGAATGATTCAGTATATAGCGTGAAAAGGCCTCCAGTCAAGGCAAGGCTTCTGGTCGCATCAATATTGCAACACTTCATCTGCTAATGCATGCAAATAAGGGCAGAGCAGATTCTAATTTGGATTTATGGGATTGAAATAATGCCCATTCTCATAATGAGCATCAGCTCAATAAAACACAGCACATTTATTACTATTATTATGAGTCTTTTGGCACAACCTGCAGGCTTCAACAATGCACCCAGAGAATAATCAGTATATTGTTTCTGTTTTCGGCTTGTCGTAATTTGTCATCTTTTTTTCCTCAATGATTTGTTTTGTGACTTTAAAAAAAAAAAAAAAAAAAATTATATATATATATATATATATATATATATATATATATATATATATATATATATATATTTTAGTCAGAACTTCCTAGCAACCATTCTTAACACCCTAGCAACCAAACCAAGCTTCAAAGTAATACATGTTTTTACATCTCTTTGAGAATATGTAAAAGCACAGCAGCTAATTTGACACTGTCTGATTTGTGTTTCAGATCACCGTGACAGAAACGGTGTTGTTCTTGATACAGTACACGTCCAAAGATCTTGACAGTCGAGAGAAGACCATGGTGACTGGGGACTGCTGTTACCTCAATCCATTAGTGCGGAGAACTTTTCGTTTCCTTGGTAAGTCTCAGCGGCTCATGTACTTCATTTTTTACTCCTTTTTAATGATCTTTTTACATTGAATGTGGAGCTTTTAGGACTGGCATGTAATTTGCAGTTGAACCATGGGAATTACTCGGAAGTGGTTTGTCCTCCTCAAAAGAGAGAGGTTGGACCAACCAGCGGTAAGTGCATTAGTGTCTAAAACCCTGGTATTTTTAGGCTGAAATGTATGTGAAGGCAGAAATTCGAAACACTTATTCTTCTTAAAAGGATAGTTCAAGTGAATAAACATTGTGGCATCAACTTAACCTCACATATAACTTTTTATTTTTTAATGTATTATGATGTTAAAAATAATAATAATAATTTTTATAATAATAAAAAGATTCATCTGTATTTAGCACTGCTCTATGTAAAGGCACAATATAAAAACAATTAAAATGTCTATAAACGTCAAAGATTTACAGTAAACTACTGTGTTTAATTAATTTTTGTCTATGGTAATACATCAATGTTTTAAAATAGTAACACTTACACATTGTACTTTTGTTACATAAACAAACGTACAACCAAAAGCAGGTGGTGATGAGAATGTCATATAAAGAGCCAATGCTTATCCGCTTGCAGAGAAACATGCTGATATGTTGAAGGTATCCATAGATTTATACACTAGATATCGCAAACGGGCCCTGAACATGCGTCAATACCAACGCCATGTTTGTACAGTGCTTCCAGAACAAAAGTCATTCAATCGCACTTAGTCAAGACTAAAGCCAATCTGAAGATGCTGGACTTTAGTGCTGTGTACGGGTGTAGTATGAGCAAACAAAGAAAACAAAGCATAAAGGCAAAACATTTCATAGGTAAGATTTCCATTTTTATGATTTTGTATGTTATGAACTTTTGTGCTCGACAAGTAATGTTATTGATTGTAAAGCTTGGTTTATACTTCTGCGTCAAGTGACCGGCGTAACCCACGGCGCATGCAACATGCATAGCTGTGCATTTATACTTCTGCGCGCTGTCACTGTTGGTCTGCATTAACACTTCCGAAGCGCTAGTGGACAGTGAGGTGTTAATGTTCCTCTGTGTCGAGTTTCTTTGCTGCTGTTTTGTTTTTTCTGAACACTTTCTGAATGTTAAAGTGGCTCAAACTCGCTCATTTTGAGGCAGAAACTGACGGACATGCAACAATTTTAACTATGAGGTGAACACAAAACAAAACTTCCCAAACAAAACGCCGCTCGCTTGGCTCTCGGTCCCACCCTGACTCGTCATCGCTACCAAGCCGACCTATCACAGAGCTTGCGCTACGCGTTGTTGCGACATGTAGTTACATTTTTTGAAAGGTGCACGTCAGCGACGCCGACGGCCACGGCGTAGGGCTATGCGTCAACTGTTCCTACAGATCTTACTTTGAGCTCCCGTGAAAAGACTAATAAAGAGTCCTGCGGGCCACTGCTTTCCTTTGCTGAACTAAATAAATAACAAAAGTGACTATGAAAAATAATGTTCACTACCTGCTACAAAATAAACAAAGTATCAAAATACACAAACGAAACAAAATAGTTAACACATTTAGAAAGCTAAAGGATCAAAAAGTTAACAAAAAAATGACATTGAAAAGAACGTCATGTGGATTGGTCCTGGCATGCGTGGAGCGCTGCCAGCCAGACACCCTGAACACAAGCCAATGAGAGTAAGCAAGAGAGAAATGAGACAGAGACTGAGCCGCCATTGCTGTGGCGAATATTACAAATAATTGAATATTGCAAATGGAATCTTGACCTTATTCTAAAATGCGGAAGTGCGCCTGTTTTCGCGATTGTTTTAGAATGTCCGATTCAGTCGCCTATGGGAGAAATGACTTGGAATAATAAACGGCAGAAAACGGTCAAACTACTTGCTCTACAAACAAATGTTTGCATGAATATACAGACCAAGTAGAATAATATAATAAGAGAATATCAGTTTGCAACATCAAACAGCAAAACGAGCAGTTTTTAATGTCTAAAAATGAATGGAAGTGAATGAGACCGGAAGTCTTGAGCCAAAAAGATTCAAATGGGTGCGCCCGCTCGTCTGCTGAGAATAAGGTGAATACCATTCACATCAGAAAGGTGGATATGCACATTAAGACGCATGGTTCAAACGAATCGTTCATAATGGAGATTAATTTACAAACGAATCGCTCCCTCCATTAGAATTAGAAGTTAAATAAGGAGAGGGAGTGTGTTTCAGGACACCGATTAGGGGTTGGACCCTCTTTTGCCTTCAGAACTGCCTCAATCCTTTGTGGCATAGATTCAACAATGTACTGGAAATATTCCTCAGATATTTTGGTCCATATTGACATGATAGAATGACACAGTTTTGTTTGTTGTCTCCCATTCCACCACATCCCAAAGGTGCTCTATTGGATTGATATCTGGTGACTGTGGAGGCCATTTGAGTACAGTGAACTCACTGTAATGTTCAAGAAACCAGTCTGAGATGATTTGTGCTTTATGACATGGCGTGTTATCCTGCTAAAAGTAGCCATCAGAAGATTCTGAAACAGCCATTACTGTGGTAATAAAGGGATGGACATGGTCAGCAACAATAATCAGGTTGGCTGTTGATATGGTGCTCAGTTGGAGCTAATGGGCCCAAAGCGTGCCAAAAATATCCCCTACATCAGGGGTCACCAAACTTGTTCCTGGAGGGCCGGTGTCCTTCAGATTTTAGCTCCAACTCTAATTAAACACACCTGAACAAGCTGATCAAGGTCTTACTAGGTATACTTGAAACATCCAGGCAGGTGTATTGAGGCAAGTTGGAGCTAAACCCTGCAGGGACACCGGCCCTCCTGGACCGAGATTGGTGACCCCTGCCCTACACCATTATACTACATCATTACATGGTGTGGTCTTCTGCTGTTGTAGCCCATCCGCCTCAAGGTTGGACGTGTTGTGCGTTCAGAGATGCTCTTCTGCGTACCTCGGTTAAACGAGTGGTTATTTGAGTTCCTGTTGCCTTTCTATCAGCTGAAACCAGTCTGACCATTCTCCTCTGACCTCTGGCATCAACAAGGCATTTGCGCTCACAGAAGTGCCGCTCACTAGATATTTTCTCTTTTTCAGGCCATTCGCTGTTAACCCTAGAGGTGATTGTGCGCTGAAATCCTAGTAGATCAGCAGTTTCTGAAATACTCAGATCAAAGTCTGGCACAAACAACTATGCCGCGTTCAAAGTCACTTACAGTAAATCACCTTTCTTCTGATTCTGATGCTCAGTTTGAACTGCAGAAGATCGTCTTGACCATGTCTACATGCCTTAATGCATTGAGTTGCTGCCAAGTGATTGGCTGATTAGAAATTTGCGTTAATGAGCATTTAGACAGGTGTACCTAATAAAGTGGCCGGTGAGTGTAAATGTAAGGTGTCAGTGTCACACAACTACTAAATATGGGAACACACATGACACTAAAGTAATGCCTTAAGCATTATTTATCAACATTATGTAACATAAAATCTGTACTGTACAAAAAAATTGGAAAAGTGTCATGCAGGAAGTTATGGGTAAGTCATTTTACTGTTATTCATATTAATAAAGCTTAGCCTACTGCTAATCAGGTTCCAGGTTATTACTCTAGCATTTTTACACTTTGGGCTTTATTTTGACGGTCCATGTGCAGAGAGCAAAACGCAGGGCGCAAATGTGTTCAGGGTGTGTCAGAATGCATTTTTGCTAACTTAAGGATGGGAAAATCCGCTTTACGCCGTGGCGCATGGTCTAAAAGGGTTGAGTTTATTTTCTTAATGAGTTATAGGTGTGTTTTGAGAATAAACCAATCAGAGTCTCATCTCCCATTCCCTTTAAGAGCCAGCTGCGTCGCGCCATAAGCGCATTTGCTATTTACATGACGCAAAGTAAGTGGAAGTGGAAAACATTTCACAAGCAAAAAGTTAACAGTTTTTTTTTTTTTTTAAAAAGAAAACAGAAAACAGATAAACAGAGCATCTGCCGTGCAGAATGAGAGATAAATGATCTTCTTTCACTTTTGCTCTCGTGGATAGGGAAACCTTTACGCACAGACATCAATTAGCCTATAAATAATTAATTGCGTTTGTTAAGCGCAAAGATTTGTTTCAAAACTATTTATAAATTCAGTTCTAATTTCCAGCAAACAAATAAATGAACAATAATAACAAAGTGTGTTCAAAAACCTGAGTTATATCCTAAAACACATGCAGTGCCCCATATGGTCTAAAACCTGACAGGTGGGCAAATCTAGGCTTGTTTTTAATAAAACAAATATAAATATGGATATAATAAATAATACTGCTAATAATAATAACATTATACAAAAGCAAATTGTTATGAATGAACTAAAAAAAGCCTCCCGAGATGAAGAAGACATAAACGCAGTGATTTTTCATATTTATGTAGGCTAGAAAATAATATGTTTTGTAATATTTTAATCCTTTATATGTATATCCTATATATTTTCTTATTATATCCTATATATATATATCCTTAATATTTAAATTTTTTCATATGTAAAGATATTTGCGTATTGCTCTACATCTTGTGTGTAGGCTAATAAGCAGTGTGTAAGCGAGGCGCAACTCTGCACGGAGTTTAGACCGGGTTTGTTTTGGTCTAATGAAAAATCTTATATAGTTTCTCAAAATAGCAACGCGCCAGCGGTCCGCCTCAGAACGCCTTTCTTTTTAGACCAGAACTCCTATGGGCAAACATATGAGCGCAAATGCATTTGCTATTTAAACAACGTGGTGCAAAACAGCAAAACGACACTTGCGCCAAGCTGAAACTAGCAAATAACATTTGCGCCGCGCCTTGCGCCACACTGCGCCGGATGTATGATAGGGCCCTGTGTCTTACTGTTAAACTCACAGCCATTTTTATAACAGTATGTTTTCTGCTGTCAGTGTAACCTTACATGCCTTAAAACATCACAATAGCAAAGCCTTTTCAATCACATCACACACTTAATGCAGTTTAGCAAATTAGGA